AAAAATATGCGTGTGTGTGTGTGTGTGTGTGTGTGTGTGTGTGTGTGTGTGTGTGTGTGTGTGTGTGAATAAAGAAAATTTATAATAGCCGACATACTTCGTCCTCTGGTAAAATGCCTGCGTGGGCAAAACGTTTCGCCAAAGATAAGATTTCCTTTTGATTTTATTCATATTGTCCTTTTACAAATGTACTCTATCTGATTTTTTCACACATACACACACGGACACACACACACACACACACACACACACACACACACATATATATATATATATATATGAGGATAAAATCCCATTAGATAAATAAAAGTTTTTTTATTTGTTCCTTATCTCATAAACGAAGCTGAGCAGATATGGAATTTTGAGAAACTAACGAGAAGCTTCTGTTCAGCTTTGCATGTTCGGAAATTTTTTTCGCAACTGAGTCGGTTAAAACACTTCAGATCTAACGACGTTTCCCTCTGTCCAGGGGTAGGGGCGCAGGTTGGAATTTTGTCGGAGGGAGCATATTTTTCTCTAATAAGTTTCTTGTTTTTCTTTAGTGTCGTTTCTGTCCGCTCTGTCAAGACTGTCATCTTAAGATTGTGACCGACTGAAATTTTATCCTCTCATCTAGTGGAATGGCAAATTCATTACGCTAACACACAAATTATTCTTGAGTTCGGAACTGTAATAATTTAACCCCAACATGCAGAAATTCTCTAACTTGTTTCAAAATGTAAAAATTACGCCGGTTTTGGAAATTAATGAAATAATTTGGTAATAATTCATTTTCTAAATTAATTTATTGTAATTTCCATTTCGTTAACATTTTTTACCTGAAAAAATAATTCATTAAGTTGTAGTTACCTTACGCTTTTAGAGTTCTCTACAAGGCATTTCATTTTTCTCTCTGCCTTCAAATTTGTTGGACTAAGACATCCTTGGCATAAGGCCATATTTATGAAGCAAAATGAAAGTAGTAACCTTAGTTAAACTAAAGCAAATCTTGTCGATTGGCAAATACTTGGAGTACTATGCCATAGTCTCGACATCATATGTAGTTAAATATGTGGTTTGAACTGGTGTTTTTCAACTCCGGTCTCGTTGTTCCTAAATTGACCGTATCGGCTGTATCGATGCGTTAGTCTCCAAGGATACCTTCCAGCAAATACATCAAAGTCACACTGTCTCTTTTTCTAACTGAAAGTTAAATCAGCTGTCTTTTCAATACGAGAAAGTTATTTTCTATTATTTAATAACACACGGTCTATAGTTTGTATTGTCGACTGGTACCCCCTTTGATCAAAAAGAAATATACTTATCCCAGTATCCTGAGTAATGTAGCTTTAGAATATATGAGGTTATGAGGGTCTATCTGCAAAATCCTAGGAAGAGTCCCACAATAAACAGAGTGACGGAATCCATAACAATATATATATATATATATATATATATATATATATATATATATATATATATACAGTGGTGTTGAATAAGTGATCGTACACATGAAAATATTTCATATTTTTATTTGTAACATTAAATTAACAAAACGGGAATATATCTACTGTATCAGATTGCCTTCGAAAAATGTATGCATATAAAACTAAATAATATTCCATGGTTAAGAAAATATATCAATATTTAAATTTTTAGGGGCTTAAAAAATGATCGTACAGCAGAACAAAAACATGTTTTCTCCATTTAATATTTTGTAGTAAAGCCTATATTAAGCTCAACAGCAACCAATCTCTTCCTGTGGTCTTTAATTAACGATTCGCATACTTTAGAAGGTATTTTGTCCCAATCTTCCTGAGTAATTGTCTTCAGGTTTTTGATGTTCGTTTGACCTCTATCACGGATCTTATTTTCCAAAAACTGCCATAAATTCTCTATTGGATTCAAATCCAGCGACTGTCTCGGCCATTGTAAGATGTTAACGTTGTTATTAGCAAGCCATTTTTTCGTACTTTTAGCAATGATCCCAAGCAGGGAGTTCCAGTGTCAGGAAGTGCAACATAAGAAGCTGTTGGAGTAGAAGAGACGGCTACATTTAACCGTTTCGAAAAAAAATACGGAAAATGTTTCTCACCTATACTAACTGTTGTTGATTTTCCCAGTATTCCTTCTGTTGAACCATATTTCTGTTACTTCAAGTCTGTCATTCGTCTTTGAGGAGATTGTCCAACATTAACTGCTATACAAGACGACAGCTTTCACGTAGCAGTTTAGTACTCTTTTTTTCTTACAAAGTTTTTTTTTCTAACTAAAGTTAATATTAAGTGCACATGTCTAGATAAATATTCAAAACCTATACTGAAGTACTTACTGTTAAATTGTATTTCTTAAAGTTCATCCTAAATTGAACGTAGTCAAGTTTATATTAATAAAGCTCACATTTTAAAGTACGTATTAAAGTTCACATCGCAAAGTTTATAATCAACTCCACGTATTAAAGTTAATATTGAAATATGTCTTGAAATTCATATTAAAGGGCACGTCTGAATATTTATATTAAACTTCTTGAAATTAATGCTTTCTCGTTGTATTTTTCTTTTTATTTAGTTTTGTTTTGTTTTTCGGGATTTTTTTTTGTTTTTTGTTTTTCTATGACATTAAAAGTAGACAGTGTATTGTTGCCAATCTTAACCCAACGTATTATTTCTGTCGTGAAACGTTTTTGGAGCAGCAATCATTAGACACTATAGTGAACGGATAAATTGATCTCAATCGATTTTGAAATAGTTTCCATATTGTCCAGAGTGCTGTGCATTGCCAATGATATGATCTACCATTTTCAGTGACTTAAAAGTCTTGTGGAAATTCTTAAGCCATAATCATTTTCTTGAAGCCTGTATTTATCACAAATAAGATAACTTCTTTAAGAATTCCAAAAATTGAGAAAAAAAATGTCCAAAATAATTACTCAAGCCATGAGAGTGAAAGCTGTATATTTTATAGCCAGAGTTTATTCACAGAACACAAATAGGGATAGAAAAAATATTTCTTTTAGGTTTTATTTTTCTATATTTTTTATCCAATGTTCGTTTCTGCTGCTTGTTAATTACAATATCGAAAGAAATGAAGCCAAAAAAAAATGTGTCCGTCAAAAATAAATAGCAGCTGTGAGTTGTTGTTGTCGGCCGACATTTAGTTGTTCGCCAAGTTGTGTGCGTGTAAAGAAGTGGGGAGGGGTCAACTAAAGGCTCCACCCTGTGAATGACAAAGCTTGTTATCAAAAAGTGATAGAAAGAGAGAGAGAGAGAGAGAGAGAGAGAGAGAGAGAGAGAAAGAGGCAGCAGAAAACAAGATTAAAAATTAAAGAGAAATTTGAAAACATGTTATTAAAAAAAAGAAACGTAATAAGCGTTTCATTTTAAAATAAAGACTAAAGATAAGATATGAATAATGAAGATCGAACGATGAGAGAGAAGAAGATGGAAGGGAAACGGAAGGACGCGAGAAACAAAAATGGAAAATGATATTGATCAAATATATGAGTAAAATGCAGAAGGAATTTTCAAAACCCAAATGATGTACGGAAAGATGAGAATTAATGAGCAAACAACAAGAAAAACAACATCAATATTACTACTACTACTACTACTACTACTAATAATAATAATAATAATAATAATAATGTTAATATGGAATGGAAGAAAGAGACTTTTGAATTAAATGATTTTCAAATAAAATTTAATGCAGTATCAATACATGAAAAATAGAACATTATGACTAAAATAACGAAGCGGAATGGAAAAATGAAAAAGAGGTGAGAAAATTAAAGAAAGGGAATGAAAAAGAGATAGAAGCAGTTAGAGTAAAGAAAACAATTTGAAAGAGGATAATTACAATCGGTAATTAAAAGAAAGAAAGGAAAAAAGATATGAACGTGTAGAAACAAAAGGAGGAAAGAAAGAAAGAAGGATATGAATGCGTTGAAACAAAAGAAAGAAAGAAAGAAAGAAAGAAAGAAAGAAAGTGTGGAGGTGGAAATGAAAGAGAATAATAAGCTGCAGAGGAATAAAATGCAAATAAGAAAGAAAGAAAGAAAGAAAGAAAGAAAAGAAAGAAAGAAAGAAAGAAAGAAAGGATAGGATAAATGCGTTGAAACAAAAGAAAGAAAAGAAAGAAAGAAAGAAAGTGTGGAGGTGGAAATGAAAGAGAATAATAAGCTGCAGAGGAATAAAATGCAAATAAGAAAGAAAGAAAGAAAGAAAGAAAGAAAGAAAGAAAGAAAGAAGGATATGAATGCGTTGAAACAAAAGAAAGAAAGAAAGAAAGAAAGAAAGAAAGTGTGGAGGTGGAAATGAAAGAGAATAATAAGCTGCAGAGGAATAAAATGCAAATAAGAAAGAAAGAAAGAAAGAAAGAAAGAAAGAAAGAAAGAAAAAGAAGGATAAGAATGCGTTGAAACAAAAGAAAGAAAGAAAGAAAGAAAGAAAGAAAGTGTGGAGGTGGAAATGAAAGAGAATAATAAGCTGCAGAGGAATAAAATGCAAATAAGAAAGAAAGAAAGAAAGAAAGAAAGAAAGAAGAATATGAATGTGTTGAAACAAAAGAAAGAAAGAAAGAAAGAAAGAAAGAAATAAGGATATGAATGTGTTGAAACAAAAGAAAGAAAGAAAGAAAGAAAGAACGAAAGTGTTGAGGTGGAAATGAAAGAGAATAATAAGCTGCAGAGGAATAAAATGCAAATAAGAAAGAAAGAAAGAAAGAAAGAAAGAAAGAACGAAAGTGTTGAGGTGGAAATGAAAGAGAATAATAAACTGCAGAGGGATAAAATTGCAAATAAGAAAGAAAGAAGCGGGGAAAAATAGACATAAAATTACTACTGGAAAGGGAAGCATGATTTGAAGAAGAAGAAGAAGAAGAAGAAGAGGAGGAGGAGGAGGAGGAGGATGATAATAATAATAATAATAATAATAATAATAATAATGACGATGGCTGCAAATGAAAAACACAAGAGAAATTAGGAAGGAAAATAAAAAGTATATTGAAAGAAAGAAAAATGTTTCTTAAAGAGTTTTGTAAGTAGAAGAAAGAGAAAATAAAAAGAAAAGTAAAGAGAAAGAGAGAAAGACGAGAAAAGTGGGAAAAAAGCAAAGTGGACGGTGAAAAAGAGATACAAACAGCAAGAGTGAAGAAAATTTCATTTCAAATAGGATAATGTAAAGAAAGAAAGAAAGAAAGAAATATGTGGGAACTAATGAGAGAATGAAATGAACGTATGGAAATAAAAGAAAAGAAAGAAAAAAGAAAGAAAGAAACGAAAGTGTGGAAACGAAAAAAGAAAGAAAGAAAGCAAATACAGATGAGAAAGTAAAAAAGACAAATGAAAGTAAAGGAACAAAGAAGCAAAATGATGTCCAGAAAACAATTCAGAAAAAAAAAAGAAAGCGAAACATGAAAAGATGAAAAGAAAGGAAAAACAAAAAAGTACAACTTCATTAGAACATCGGAACGGCTTCTTGAATGAAGTGGTGTGCGCGAAGTAATAGTGTATAGAGACGTTAGGTCTTCCAGAAATAACATCTTGATTATCCGCCCATCAAGCAAGTAGGCTATTAAGTGAAGGCCGTCACTTTATGTCGGTGGAGGGTGGCGACTGTCTAGTAAGGAATGGAACTGAATGAGACTAAGACAGAGCCGTTGGCTTGAAAACGGGTACCGATTAATGACGCGCTCTGCCAGTGTTTAAGATAACAAAACCGGGTATCATTGTTCTCTGGTGGCGATGACGAGGCAGGAAATGGGGTAGCGGAGATAAGGGAAGGGCAAAACGAATGTGGGATTCTTAGTAGAGTAGCTGTTTTAATCAAGGCGATTTTCACATCTCTGGTCGAAAATGAGCGGGAGATGCCGTTGATGATGACCTAATCGAAATGGCTGGATATTTGATGGTATTTAAGTCCCGTGAGTACAGGTCAGGGACACTCAAATCAAACAAGTACAGAAATTTCAATATCTTGAAAGTGTTCTGAAAGAGGACGGCGAGTGTGATACTGTGATCCGAAGATCTACAGGGATGGTCAAAAACACATTCCAAAAGCTAAGCAGAGTATTAAGAGACCTGAAAGTTCCGTTCAAAACAAAGAAAAGAGTACTGAACTGCAACATGATATCTGTCCGCTTGTATGATAGCAAATGCTGGACAATTTCCTCAAAGATGAAGAAAAGACTCGAAGCAACAGAAGTGTTGTTCTACAGAAGGATGCTAAGGATACAAACATGTAAGCAACGATGGTGTTTTGGAGAGAATGGAAACTAAGAGGAAACTTATATACTTAGCATCAGAAAGAGGCAGTTAAAATTCCTGGGGCACGCAGTGAGGAAGGAGGGTTTGGAAAATCTGATACTCACAGGACGGATAGAGGTAAATAGGGATAAGGGAAAGCAACGCGTGACATACTTAAGAGGCTTTTACAAGTGGATGGTAAAACAGGGTCTAGGAGAAATAACAAAAAGACAAGAGCAACAAGGGACAGGAAGAGGTGGGGGGCCCATGATCGCTTACGTCCTGAACGGGCACGGTATATAAAAGAAAGAGTATCGATGATGTAGCGATCAAAAAGGGGTGACGTTCTGAGTATGCCTTCCAGTTGATGAAAAAACTAACACCACCAAAACCAACCCCCGCTAAAAAATGGCCGAAAACTCTTAGGACAATGGGCGTCTTTTGTACTCCCTCCGCCTATCCAATGGAAAAATGTAAGAACTCCGGAAAAAACTAAATAATGTTTTTTAAAATACATCCGTTCAACATAGCGTATAAACCACAGGTGGTCTCGGTTCTACACATATACGTGCCTGGACAGGCGTCTACAAGTGGGATTGGCATGTATGTGCGTTTGTGTGCGGATACGTGTATGTGTGTAATCTTTAGTGTATTTGAACTCAGCGGAAACGGGGCAAGCAATAACTGCATTACAAACAATAGGACCTAGACGTGATATTCCTCGATATGAGCAGTGGGATGAAAACAGACTACACCCATAGATTAAATGACGAATGCTGTTCGAAGTTGTCTGTCTGTTACCCCGATCAGCATGCACGTGATAAAGCCAATAATGAACCCAATAACCGAAACGTTATCATAGCAAGAAAAAAAGATTTGACAATAATCCGTATGCAATTTTTAACTAATTAATTTATCTTTAGAAACTCGACATTGTTTCTTATTACTATAAGCGTTTCTTGTAATTGTTTCTCGAGGCTTAATGGTAATTGTATGGAAGATGGTTTGCTATATTAAATGGAATACAGGTTCGATTACTTTCGAGAAATAAGTTTTACTTAGCAAAATCTTTATGTCTGTAATTATATTTTTCAATTCTTTCTCAATTGTCTCTCAAAAATATGGTCGAAGAAGCGGTCCATTTGCCATACGTGCCTGACGACTTGGGAAATCATAAACTTTAAGTTGCACTAAAAACGTAGGTATATGTGTATTTATTAAAATATACTTCATAACTCTGTTTAACTACACTGAGCAGTGTTTGTTTGCAGTATAAATTAAATAAATACTTATTTGCTTATCTGCGTATGCACGCTATAGCACACGCATACAGTTGCTAATATCACGTTAATTTGGTTTATATTCACACACACACATATATATATATATATATATAGAAAAACTATGACAGTTAGATTTAAGTTAGGAATATCCGAACAGTGACGTTCCATATCACGTGACGTCCGCGTCTCGCGAAGGACGCTACTTGCTAACAAACAGTAATTTTAATTTATTTGTAACTAACAGTTATTTCTGATGAAAAATTGAGGACAATTTGAAATATCAAATATATATATAAATAAATAAATACTTTCATAAAATAAAACATAATTTTTAATTTGAAACTTTTTCTATATATACATATCAAGAAAGTATACGTGGCTTCCCATTATGCTATATATATATATATATATATATATATATATATATATATACATGAATTATTCATACAAAACTAATGCAAAGGTTAATGATTTAAATGGCAAGACATCCATCTTGCAAACGATTCAAATAGTACACAAAAACCTCTAAATCCGTTATGCATGAGTTGATCCTTGTTTATATAAATTTCTGCCGTATTAGTTGTTATTTTTACTACAAGCTTTCGTCTGTTCCTACAGACATCGTCAGGTATATAATAGATGTTGTTCTTGGTTTTTTCTCTTATATATATATATATATATATATATATATATATATATATAAAACTTTATTATATATCTATATGAAGTAAGAAGACGAGTTTTGCTTGTGGTTTATTTTACACAGTGAAGTAATAAAATTGTAACTATTTGCGTCTAGTAAACGTTTATTATTAAAGTTAATTTCATAAGAAAATGTGAGTGTATAGTTTTCCTTGAAAATTTCTTTCATTTTTTATCGTCTGTTTTTCGCTAGAATTAATGAATGTATATCGAACATAAATCATATATGTGAAAAAAATTATTAAACATTTTTTAAGGTAAGTTATGCAGGAATTTGAGAAAGTCGGTCTTAGAGGCAAACCCATTGGCACGCCGTCAGTTTTATGTCATTACTGTAATGATCATAAAAATCTACTTGTATTGTGCATGGTAGATTCTGCACAGAATTGTTAGTCTAACATTAGGAAATACGATTTGTATTATTACATATGTAATTTCCAATGAGGCGAGCGTAACAGTATTAGATTGATTAGAGAACAGCAATCAAGAATCTAATTCGAGGAATTAACTTACTATTTATTTCTTAAACAGTTGGTATAAAACTTTGGATAAGTGATATGGAAGGATAGGGGTTTTTGAGAATATGGCTTTCGTTCGTTTAATATTGTATCACTGAAATGTCTGTATCACTGAGAAACGTCTTTCTTACACGCGATGTATGGCAAGATGATACATCATTTTGGAATAGTTCATATTTTGTTAAGTGGAGTAGATAGGTCCGCCTATTATCCTGTTCACAAGACTCACTGGTCTTCTGAGCACGAATAAATGTTTATCCCTTGTCTCTTATTTAGGATATGGTTTCCGGTTCCTTCTAAAATGTTCTTCTCTTGCACTCTGTGTAAACCCTTGCGTCTTGATGTTTTTGTTTTGGGGGCGGGGAATTAATTTTTTTTTAAATCTTGTCACAGATGGGAATTTAGAAAAGTATTATATATTTTTATTGTTAAGTGTTATACTAGAACATTACCTATTCTATTGTAATAGACTCTCCCACACATAAGTAGTAGTAGTAGTAGTAGTGGTCGCCAGTTGGGCTCAGTGGAGTTGAATGAGTCAGTCGATGTCGGACATTGATGTATCAACTCCCACAACTAGATTGCTGCGTCATTAACTCTTATTTCAAGTTCCTAACGTTTTGTACGTCGGACTCTTTTAGGACCGACTTATTGAAATACAAGCCTCCACTGTGAAAACTACTTTACCACATTAAGTATCCTCTTTTATCAAATTTCTTTTACCATTTGTTTTCATGTAGAATTGCACTGCTTCTGTTCTCTATTTTCGATTGTTTCTTGTACAAATGAGTCTTTGTACATAATTCCTGCTGCACTGAATAATTCAGTTTTATTTCTCTTTCGTCATTACATATCACGTTTTTTCCCATTACCATTATATCACAGCAGCTGTTCTGTTTCAGGTTTTTCATCTTTGATATATTTTGGCTAATGATAGCTTTTTTTTCTTCTGGTACATTGTATCCATTTAGATTCCTTTTATGTAGAATTCTTCAACTGTTTGCACTGACACTTCAGTAGTAGTGATGCTTTCATTTATTCATAAGTTATCAATTTGGGGCTTGGATGCCGATAACCTTGCTGGTTTTCTTTGATCTCTTCTATTTTCCGAATGTCTATCAATCTTTTTCCTGCCAACATCAACATGCTTCTGCGTGACATGGACAGTATCCACTTTCCTTGCCGATTTCAAGTTACCCTGGACTCTCACACTTACACACACAGACACACATATATATATATATATATATATATATACACACACACACACATATATATATATATATATATATATATATATATATATATATATTAGGTACCTCCAAAAATTTTCTAAAATTGCCTGTGCTTTGATGAAGAAAAAAAGGCCCCAAACTTGAGAAAAAACAAAGTTTTATTTTCAAAATATTTATCTTATTATTAAGGGGAAAGAAAAAGTGTTTTTAAATATTTTATTATTTTTTTA